GCTGTACACGACAAGGTGTAGGGTCGTCTGTCCAACCTCATGGGTTTTCTCCGGCCCCTCCGGTTTCCTCCCACTGCTAAAGACCCCTACACACAAGGGAATTATTGAAATAAAATATGTTAGTCCCGAAATGACCTAGTTTGTGTCAAGTGGTCATTATTCTTTCATTACTCTCTCTCTCTCTCTCTCTCTCTCTCTCTCTCATTTTAGACACCTCAAGGCAGTTATTGAAATTTAAATTTGTGTTAGAAAGTCAAGTGATGGATGTTAGAAGACAATCTATGTTCGATGCAAAGAGATTCCTTTGCATGTCAGTTAGCCACCTTTGAAACAGTGGCTCAGTTGGTAGGGCGTTGGCTCGCTAACCGGGAGGTCCTGTGTTCGATCCCCGCGTTGGCCAAGAAAGTTTGTCAAGATTTTCTGGCGCGATTCATCCTTGTCAGTGACATGGCAAGGGACAGCATATAGCTGGTCTAATGGAACCAAAAAAACATTGCTGTCCACGTAAAAGATCCCTTGACAGTTGGAATTTGAAATAAGTGTAGGCCACAGCACCGCTGTAGGGACAAAATTTCCCTGATAGTACACTGCATGGCGTTTGCCTGTCTTCATTAGCCTAGTCAGAGGAGAACAGTAGCATGTTAAATCCATTTCGTTTCATTTTATTTCTTTTAAATCTTGAAATCCTAGACCATGATGGAAGGTTTGTCATTTTTTTTTATAAATCCGGACTGGCATTCTTATTACTTATAAACGGTGATGCGCTAAAAGGCCAATAAATGGAGTGAAATGAAATGAAATGGGGTTTAACGTCCTACTGTTCTGCCCCTATACTGGGCTAATGAAGACGGGCATACGCCATACAGTGTGCTATGAGGGAAATTTTGCCCGGGCATCGGCACTACGGCCTACTCTTATATCAATTTCACTGACAAGGTGAAACCATGCTGGAAAATCTGGATGGACTTTCTCGGCCAATGCAGGGATCGAACACCAGACCTCCAGGCTAGCGAGCCAGCGTCTTACCCACTTAGCCACGTGATCCCCTAAATGGAGTGAAAAGTCTTCTTTACATAAACATATAGTAATCTAGACAATTAAAACAAAAATACCTACTTTAGATACCATCTTGACCTTGATGTTTATAGACAGAAATAGGTTATCATTCAGTTGTTGACTGTTGATTCAATGGAGATAAAGATGGCAGTATAGAATCAAAATTGTTGATTTTAATAGCTTTTGGACTTATATGTATATGCATTTTTTTAAAGGTTTAGTGTGTATGGTCTGAAAGAAGTTCGCATTAATCTTTTATTCTAAAATATTGGGCTTCTTTATATTTTGTATGGTCTGAAAGTTCGCATTAATATTTTATTCATATTTATAGTCTTTTGATGTTTAAATCAGGTTTTATGCCTTAAAAGCAAAAAAATAAATCAAAGCAAGAGTTACATGTATCAAGCAGGTTTTCATATTTGAATGTCTATATAACTGTGATACACAAAAAATATGACTAGAAAATAATTTGTACTTTATAGAATGTTGGTCAGGACATCGGGTGTGGTTTGTAGGAAAGAGAAAGAGAGAGAGAGAAATAGAGTTTAAGGTCCACTCTACACAAACTAGGTCATTTCGGGACTAACATATGGGTTAATTTTATTTCAATAATTCGCTTGCGCGTAGGGGTCTTTAGCAGATGGAGGAAACCGGAGGACCCGGAGAAAACCCACGAGGTTGGACAGGCGACCTACTCCTTGTCACGTACAACCGGGGATTCGAAACCACGCCAGTTGACTCAATGACAGGCCTTATGATACAGCACGCTCGAGCTAACCATCCAACCCCCCTGGTTTGTAGGAAAAGGTATAGCTTCTTTAGATACTTCAAATATCCAGAATGTTAAAACACAGGTAGATCTGCTTAGAATAACAAGTTGTTGCCTGGTAAAAGGTTATATGATGATGTCTATATAAGTATTGAGGTGTTATTATTATAAGAGTTAGGACTTTATACCTAGCAGGTCGTGTCTCTCTCACATTTACCTGTAAATCTCTAGTGAAATATCAACTAATCTATAGGACTATTAGGTAATGTCTGCTACAGGTGTTTCAAGAGAGAGAGAGATAGAGAGAGAAAAATGGGGTTAGCGCGTGCATGTTGTATCATAAGGTCTGTAACTGGCGTGGTTTTGATTCCCCGGTTGTACGTGACGAGGAGTAGAGTCGTCTGTCCAAATTTTTGGGTTTTCTCTGGGTCCTTCAGTTTCCTCCCACTGCTAAAGACCCTTACACACACGCGAATTATTGAAATAAAATTAAACCATATGTTAGTCCCTAAATGACCTAGTTTGTGTGGAGTTGATGTTACCCCCCGCTCTCTCTCTCTCTCACTCTCTCATTCTTATTCAAGTCTCAAAAATTTAAGTCATCATTCATTCAACTCTTGAAGATTAAACACATTAACTAAAATAACTTTTAACTCAACCCTCTAAAATTTAACTCATTAACTCAACCCTCTAAGATTTAACTCATTAGCTCAACCCTCTAAGATTTTAAAACTCATTAACTCATATCCCTAAGATTTAACTCATTAACTCAAATGTCTAATATTTAACTCATTAACTCAAATCTCTAATATTTAACTCAAATCTCTAAAATTTAACCCATTAACTCAAATCTCCACTATTTAATTCAAATATCTAAGATTTAACTCATTAACTCAAATCTAACTCATCTCCAAGATTTATCTCATCTTTCATTAAAATCTCCAAGATGTAACTCATCATTCATTCAAATCTCCAATATCTAACTCATCATTCATTCAAATCTCCAATATCTAACTCATCATGCATTCAACTCTTCAATATTTAACTCATAATTCATTCAAATCTCCATGATTTAACACCATTATTCATTCAAAACTCCAAGATTTACTTCTATTATTCAAGATCAGATTTGATAATGAATAAGCTTCTTTAAAATTGACATACCACTGAGTGCAACAAACAGTATAAAAATTCTTGTTCATTTGAGCTATAAACTAACATTTCAATAAATCTGATGTGAGTTTTTTTTATCTGCTTGGAAGTTTCTAATTTCTTCAGACAAGCATGATCTATTATTACAAGGAAAGTGTCCACCCAGTCATTAAGTTCAATTGGTTGAATGATGCATCTTGGTTACATTTCTGGATGCTGTATGCGTTCTATTTTTGGCATAACAAAATATTATTTCATTAATTACAATATTATATTACATAGTAATTCGTAGTTAAATAGATGTCCTCTTATTATTTGATTTATCATGGGTTATTAAAGTATCAATATCATCAATTTAATTATCAACTTTCATTGCAATTTGTGGTGCAACACCACACTGATCCGCAGTGAATATTCGCTAGGCCGTGACAATCACTGATAAGAATGACTGTAGCTACTTAATGAGCCACAAATATTAACTTTTTTCCTCCAACAAATTAAATTCTAAAATTTTTTTTTTATGTATTAGAAAAATAAATAAAGACGTTTGAAGTATTTGTAGGTAAAAATTATTTCCTATTTTAGTGTAAATGGGTATTAAAATGAGTAAAAGGCGTCATTCTCCTCGAATCAGTAACGTCTTATGTAAACAATGCACGCGCCAATGAGCCAATGATTGACGCCACAGTGATATGACATCGTGTGTTGAAAGCAGTCATCTTTTACAGAGATATTAAAAGATTTTCGTAATACTCTGTGAAACAGATTGGCGTAACACACCCACCATAACTATTTGTCATAAATCAGATTTTATTAATAGAACTGAATTCACTTTTGTTGTCTGTTAATATTACAACTTTTATTATACAAAATCTAAATATCCCTGGCATCAATCCGCTGTGCTATTGACTCCTGCAGATTTTAATGTTCTAAATTCATTTTATTAATAGAACTGAATTGAGTGTTATTCACTTTTGTTGTCAGTTAATGTTACGACTTTTATACTAAATCTAAATATTCCTGGCTCCGATCCGCTATGCTATCGACTCCTGCAGATTTTTATGTTCCAAATTCATTTTATTATGAAGTGACGAATGAAAGAATTACAATATGGCTGATGATTTTTATGTTTATCTTAGCAGACGTCAACCGAGAGACAATAGCAATAGATACATTAAAATAAACGTTATAATGGAATTGGACATAAATTTATGATACGATCTATTGATAGTCTGACTCAATCGGCTTGGTTCAAGTCGACAATCAGGACATAATTTGTAATACGATTGAATACAGTATTTATTGTCAAAACTTTGTTTCAGCTGTTTCGTGTGTGGAATGAAAGGTCCCTTGAGACTTCAAAAATCTGACACAAGTGTGATTATTAATGAAAACATGTTTTAATTTCCTCATAAATCATGCAGAGTCATGTCATATAGGCTCGGTTGATATGAAAACAAAGACTTGAGTGACATTGTTTATTAAGAATCATGTACGAATGAGTGTTCTAGGTTTATTAAATAATATGTCGCTACAACATTTGTTCATGCATAAACATAATTATATTTATATCTTGATCCCAGTCTGATTAAAATACAGATCTATATTTATTTTCGTTTTTTTATACTTTCGATGACCTACACTACATGAAGATCTGACCGGTTGTGCTGGAAGGTCGCGTTTCACGTCAGACATTGATTAATCAATCAGCATTGACGGTTGTAGTGGTTTATCCACAGTTCCGTGCAGAGCACGCCAAGAACTTGCCGTAACAAACTGTTTCATTGGCTAATTCCTCACATCAACTGGAACGCCTGTTATATAACAACTCTTCCAGATCCTAGTGTAGTAAAGACAAGTAAAACAAACAAATTTTGAACTATAAAAAACGAAACGAAATAGGATCTGTGTTTTAATCAAATGGATCTTAATCCCTAAAATAAAGAAAGTGGAATTATTAATAAGCTTTGAAGAATATCCCTGAATTACAATTTATTAATACCATATATATTGATAAACATACCTGCCGTGAATTTAATTAGGGTATTTTTCAATGGGAATTCATTTGTTACACCTTGATATTAGAATATCTGTTAGTCTTCCAAAAATCTGCAATGAAAAGATAAATCTGTTATTAATTGAATGTGTATAAATTGTATTGTTTATTAGTCTTGGTTACCCAGAACCTCCTAGTCTTCAACGTATGGAGGGTCTGGGACCGTTGTCAATATTTGACGAAAAGTTCCACTGTCCATGTGTAACCGGGTGTTTGTTTTTTTATGTGGTTGATTGTTCAGTATCTTTGTATCAAGTCAAGTAAGAGTTGCGCCCAGTCTCGCAATAAATCCCATAATTCTTGCATTATTATAAACAAACATGAATTGTGATGACAATCATAGATATGGCCCATAAAGAGAGAAATTTTACAATAAAAAAAAATTGGATATTGAAATGGCAATGCAATCAAAGGGATTTTCTGAAATGGCATTCTTAAATTAATTTCATTGGCAACATCTTGTTTTAGGACTAGTTACATCCCTTAGACTTTGTCTATGATAATGTAAAAGACTGGTTAATCTAGCCAATGACCTATTATTCTCAAATGTTGACAATGCATCCAGACCAATATTCGTAGAATATTTTTCTGGATGATAGAGACTTATTGTTTATTAGACATTTATTTTTATATATTTTCTATTTTCTTCACCATCAAATTATGGAGGGGATGGATGGCCGAATGGTTAGAACGTGCGCGCTGTATCATAAGGCCTGTCATTGAGTCAACTGGCATGGTTTCGAATCCTCGGTTGTACATGACAAGGAGTAGGGTCGCCTGTCCAACCTCGTGGGTTTTCTCTGGGTCCTCCGGTTTCCTTCCACTGCTAAAGACCCCTACGCGCAAAGTGAATTATTGAAATAAAATTAAACAATATATTAGTCCCGAAATGACCTAGTTTGTCCACATTAAACCCCATTTCTCTCTCTCTCCATCAAGTTATCTGCCATTACCTTGAATATATGGGTTTATAGGTATAACTGTCACTTGATTTGAATGACGTGATGTTTATGTAGTTTACAAAATTGCACTTAAAACTTCGATAGAAATTAGAATATTTTTCTTAAACATACATTATGCAAGGGCTAAATCTGCCAATTGCAGGTCTTTCTTTAAGCCTGAAATGTTATCTAAATTATTAATTAGACATGTATTAACTTATCCAGACCATAGTCAACTCTCGATGGTATCGCTAGCCTGCGATATCGACTGGATTAGAACCTGGTCTGCTGCTTCTGATTAAATAAAAAAATGGATAATCGAGACTATGTTTTTATCAAACCGACTTTAGTAATGATGATTGAGGCTATGCCTAAAATTTAATCGCTAAATACTTGGTTTAGGGTGGAAATTTTCAGCAAATTCCCTTTACATTATCTAGTTTTTAACTATTATAGTGAGAACTACCAGCTCTTTATCTAATTTCCCATAATGTATCTTTAAAAAAAAAAAGTCATATTGACATGTATACCAATTCCCAGTTTGTTTTTGAGCTTCACTTGATGTCCAGATTCGAGAAGAGTAAGAACTACCATGACCTAGTAAGAATTTGTGTTGCCAGGTGCAGTACTTGTGTTTGTCTCTCGAGTCAGCCATCTTAGTTAGGCTAAATTAGACCACTTTGAAGTGGCTGTATTCATGGTCTGGAATAGCAGGAAAACGCATTTGCGGCTGTCAAATATTCCAAAATTTCTTGAGGGGTCAATACATGGTAAGCTCCACTCTAGCTGCCGCCTGTAAACTGAAATTTTACCGGGCATTTCGGGTTCTGCCCCCCTAACTGCCATCGAGCACGTAGGCCTATGGTTTCCCCAAGAGATAACAGCCAAGTTGAATTTTTTCCTACATGATCAGAAATTTAATCTCAGAATTGCAATATATAGAATGGATTTTGACAAGGCATGTAACCCATCTCATGCAAATGGTGTAATAAACATGACTGAATTTGACAGGACATACACCGTTGATATTATTCCAGATATACAAATTACAATACAATATGTAATAATACCTCTCTTGGTATTTTTACATCATCTGTTGTACGGACAATTTTTTAAGGAAATTGACACATTTGAAATAAACGCTGACATTCAAATGCTTATAATGTTTTGTAATATTATTCATTTATGTATATATCACTCCGTGGGAATTCTTCGGTGTATATTTAGTTATGGTCGATGTAAAATATGATGACATTATGCACAGTTTATAATAGCCCAAATGTTATGAAAAACAGCTTATATATTTTTTTGATAACCCTAAATTGATAAGAAATGGGGTTTCATTTCAAATTTTGTCAGTTGGTTATCTTTTTGATGTAGTTTGTTCAGCAAGGTAGTTTTCTAAATAATATGACAATTTTTAGAATTCTAACAAATTAAAACCAAGTACGAACAATCCAATCCAAATTCGAAGTCCTAAAAAAATCTGTATAGGCAAAATAGTGTAATCAGCAAATGGACTGTTCACCGTGTACAAAATACACGACAAACAGTGGTAACAGGTGTCCGGAAGAGTAAGCTTACCCTGCCTGGTGCCACACCCGCCATAGCTGCATCCAAACTATTAGACAAAATCTCGGTAAAATAGCGTAATATGACAATTTTAGCATTATGTTAAAGTTACAATTTCATATTTTTAAGTTATATTTTTAAAATGTATTAAAATAAAGCCCTAAAATAGATGGTATCTATAAACAGTATAATCCTATTAATCCTATAATTCACTATTGCCAGTTGAGAAATTGGCAAAAATATTATTTTCAACTTCAAATTCAAACGTTTGAAGATAGCTATTCCATGGTGGGAAATAGGAAAACAAGGGAGGTAATTGGGAGGTAATTGTGTTATTATTTCCGGTGTGAAGATTTTTAAATGTGAGAAAGATAACCTATGATCGTATAATAGTGAGTTGACAACCTATTGAGCAAAAGACAGAAATAATTATGTTTTGACTTTCTTAGAAAATATGAAATTGTAACTTTAATAAGTTTTTTTACAAATATTAATTGTATTTAGTGTGGTTTATGGTTAAATGTTTTGAAATTCTAATTTTATGGCATGTAAATTGGAGGCCATGAATGTTCTGTCTCCAGCTGATCAGTTCTATGATGTACGGGGGGTTGGATGGCTGAATGGTTAGCGTGCGCGCGCTGTATCATAAAGTCTGTCATTGAGTCGACTGGCGTGGTTTCGAATCCCCGGTTGTACGTGACAAGGAGTAGGGTCGCCTGTCCAACCTCGTGGGTTTTCTCCGGGTCCTCCGGTTTCCTCCCACTGCTAAAGACCCCTACACGCAAGCGAATTATGTAAATAAAATTAAACCATATGTTAGTCCCGAAATGACCTAGTTTGTGTCGAGTGGACGTTAAACCCCATTTCTCTCTCTCTCTCTCTATGATGTACGTTCTGTCTCCAACTGATCAGTTCTATGATGCCTGTCGGTTATGATTGGAGGATATGTACTTGTTTAAAAGATTTCAAAAAGCTACAGATGTGACCATACATGTATGATTGGAGGATATGTACTTGTTTAAAAGATTTCAAAAAGCTACAGATGTGACCATACATGTATCTTCCATCTACAAAGAATCGCTGGAAGGGAAATAGACAGCTATTACATTTGCTTTGATAAACAGTGGTAAACACAAAAGCATCTTTTATACAAGGAAATATGGTTACATAAAACGCAAAAAGTATATATATATAAATAAATAAACCATTGTTTAATCATGCATCAAAGTGTGTAGCTGCTGTTATGATGCCCACAGCTTTTGGGAGCAGATTACATAACAGTGCAGGAACAGATTTGTACCCCAGAAATGTATGTCTTAAATGGCATTTAACATTTTGGACACTGACGTCCTGAACGACATTAGGCCTATATACTAGTCTCCCTGGGTAAAAATGGAACCGAAAATTTTTGTTTACTACTATGCACCTTCAGGAACCTGAGTAGCCGAAAAACCGACTAGAATACAGAGCCATCAGTATAGCTGCCATCACAGGTACCAATTCGTTACTGATTGGCCGAACAGGTAGGAATAGGCTCTCATGGTACTCCACGCAAGGGACATCTGGACTGGTCTTTCAGACGGTCAGGTCCAAAGTGTTAATAGTTCAATGTACAGGCCAGTCTATGTTTAAATTTGGCCCACAGGTAAAGTTGCTGACAATATCTAATATTTTGCAGATTAATCCAGATTTAGAAAACCAAATCCAAATGAAGATTTATAAGTAATAATATATTGTATTATATCTATACTATAATAAGTAAAGGCTTGTCATTATAATGGTACATTCCTGTTTTTATGAGATTATATCCTTGGTTGTATTATGAAAGTCACACATACCCCATGTTTATTCTTTAAGGGAGGGTTGGGTGGCCAAATGGTTAGCATGTGCGTGCTGTATCATAAGGTCTGTCATTGAGTCAATTGGCATGGTTTCAATTCCCTGGTTGTACATGACAAGGAGTAGGGTTGCCTGTCCAACCTCGTGGGTTTTCTCCTGGTCCTCCGGTTTCTCCCCACTGCTAAAGACTTTTACACGCAAGCGAATTATTGAAATAAAATTGAATCATGTTAGTCCCAAAATTACCTAGTTGTGTCGAGTGGACGTTAAAACCCATCTCTCTCTCTCTTTCTCTCTCTTTCTCTCTCTCTCTCTCAGAAACCCATCTGTCTCTCTCTCTCCCTCCCAGGATCGGAATTAATCAGTTTTTATATTATAGTTAGCAAGTGATTCAAATCACCCAATTGACAATCAGTGTATTTAACAGTTTAAACATACATTGTTTGTTGGAATTTATTTTAAGATTTTGGACAAGGCAGCTCTGTTCAACTTCTTCCATCTTCTACCAGAATAAATCAAATTGATGTTACCTAGTTAGATATTTCGTTCGTAAAAAAACATTCATGTACACAGAGGATAACAATTTGTTGATTGTTGGTTGTCACAAAATGGTCGCTATTGTTTTTTTTAATAATCATCTCATTTATATAGCTTTTTTATATCTTTAACGAAGGGTTTGGTGGCTATTGTTTTCTCTCATT